TCCTGGTTTCAAATCACAGCAGAATGGCAAGCATTCAGAAGGATGAATTTGGCCAGGATCTAATTGGAATACATCTATTTCTGACACATCAGGAAGCAGCAAGAACAGCAGCACTCCCTGCAGTGATGCTAAAAAAACTTTGGCTACTTCTCACATTTTGAGGAGGTGACAAAACCTCTGTTAGTATCACATGGGACCTCTGCAACATCAGGGAGGAAAGGGACTATAGGATGAGGTGAATACACCTCCCAGCTTTTATTCACTCTGCAACTCAGTAAAGAAACAGCAGCTTTTTGCCAAGAAAGCTGCACACAAGAAACAGGTCCATAAGCAAGTTTTGGCCACAGCACTGCACAACAGGACTGGACACAGTTTAAATATATAAATTCTCTGACTCAGCACACACAAACTGACCTTTATCTCTCCCTGAGAACTTCAGAAAAAAATACAAGATTTTTTTTATGTAATTCCTAACTGAGCTGCTGTTTAAATAGGGCTTGGGAGAAAGATCACAAAGTTTATGCCTTTCTTTATCTTCTCCACACGTATAATGGGGATCCAGCAGCCAAGTCACTAGGGAGACATCTTTCTGATAATTGGGGCAATCTCTGCTTTCTCCTTGACTTTCCTTGGTGACATGAACTCCCTTACTTTTTCCAGCAGCTGATCCAAAAGAGGGTAAGTCCCACCACTACACAGAAGTATTCTGTTTAATAGCTATCCTTAGCTAACACAACTGAAAGGTGTGAGCTTCCTCTCCACATAATGAATTATAAAGGGCTAAAAAAATTGTTCCTGGGCTTTCTTTAAGAGATTTGGCATTGCTTAAAAGTACTCAAATAACTTATCAGGAGCTCACTATTCATGATTCATGACTTTATCAAATTGTCAAAACGTGGACAAAATTCAATAAAATTAAGTAAAATATGTTCTAGAAACCCCATCTTCATTAAGTTTCTTCATTAGTGGTGACTGGCCTCAAAACACAGTCCACCCTCATGAGAATTTTCTTCTCAATTATTTTTAACTCAAAAGAATAATCTTTCGAAATCCAACCCAAAACTCAAACTCTGCAATTAACTACACGACTTCCAGTAATTCTGGCAATCTTTCCTAGTCCACACAGGCCCATGTATACAATCAGCTGTGAGAAAGGTATTAGTTCTAAATCCATACCTAGTTCAAGGGTGAATTTTTTGGTGAATAATGGAAAAATTACCTGACTTCTTTGGGCCCCAACATCTCATTCTACTTCTCTGATAAACTGCCTGAGATCAAGGAGTATAGACTGTTGATTTTACAAACTGTCTGACAACCAGGTTACAGGAGGCCTACTCAGTAGAACCTGGATCTCTCCTGGCCCACAGAGAAGAAAATCTCTGGACAATTAACTACAAAAAATTCCTTGCAAGAGAGGAATCTAGCACGATAGGTTTATTCAATCTTCTTTTAAAATATAACCAGTTGGGTTCATACAGCTCATTTAGCTCTGTGATCACTTGCCTATCAAGATAGGATAAGCCACCCCCAAGTATCCAAGAAGTCTATTCAACCTGACCTGAGCCAGGGAATTAACTGGGGAAATAAAAAAAGCTGCTGAAAACTCTTCTCTACAAAGTTCTCAACACTAATGCCTGAAGGAAGTACACACTGATCTACAGCAAAAATCCACACAGAAAACACCTTCAAAAAATTTTAAGAAAATGCCAACCCTAAGTTTTACCTTTTCTCTAATTGTGTAGCACTTACAGTAGGAACATGATAGCTGGGAAAACAGAAAAATGTAGCACAAACCAGGAGTAGCAGTGACAAGACCAAGGAAGGCAGCTGTCACTAAGACTCCATTTATTCCACTATTCAAAAGGCCCCAACTTCTACAATACACACTTTTCACTTCTCCACATGAAAGCAGAAAGTCAGACAGCAAAAATATTGAAGTGGTTAGCCGGTCAGTTTTTGAATATTATCAGGTCATTGTGGAAGGGGCCAATAATGCATGTGAAAGAACTGCTGAATAAAAAGGAAAAGTTACTACTGATAATACTGATAATATTTGTGGCCCCTAGACACCCAGCTATCATTATTCCTCTCAGATGGTGAGGACACATAGAGCCAGGTGCTGAAACTTCATCTTTCCAGATCCCAAGCTGCCACGTGTAGTCCCAGCTCTCTCTCGTTTACTCACAAAGAATGAACTGAAGGACAAAAACCTCAGAGAAAGCTGCGTTATGGGTGTCCCCAGCACAGGATGTTACACCAAAAGGAATCTCAGGATGGTCTACAACTGGGGACACAAGGAATTCCCCTGTCAATGCTGCAAGATGGATGTTCGTTTTCACAACCCGCCTCTGCAATAATACGCAGTCATTCTCACATGCCGTTCCTTGAACATCCTTGAAGTGACACACATTTGCCAAGGACCTGAAACACTCTAGTCCAACTTCCAGTCTCACATACCTTCACTAGTCATAATGGCTAAGATCCACCACAGCAGCTCCAACAAGACAGAAAAGCCTTCGCATTTAGAAAAGGGCGAAAAAAGAGCAGGTTCTTTCCTTGAGGTGATCCCCTCTGAGGTGAAGGCACTAGAGAAAGGTAGTGGTAGCTCAGTCACAGAGATGATAAAATGTCAGGCTCCTGGCAGCACAAAATGGCAGCTGAACCCTGGCAAAATGCCAAACTGTTCAGTGAGTTGAGTACACAGGGTCATAATTATGATTAGCATAATAAGAGAGTGGTACAACAGCTACCTAGTTATTCTGAAGGGTCATGGAGAAATCATAACAAAGCACAGTTTTAAGGAGAGACACAAAAGAAAACAATGACATAGCTGCTCGGTGGGTTTTTCCCGGAGGTTCTTCCATGCGTGAAGTGCAGCCCGGGAGAAAGTACAAAGACTGTTTAAGAGATCAGGCTCTGAATCAAGAGCAGCCGGCCGTGCCTGCAGAACTTGAACGGCTCCACAACATATAAAAGATCATACGAAAAGTGTGACACTGAAGACAAAAGGACCTTACAAGAAAAACAGGCTGTTAGTGTAAATTTAAATAAAATCTGGGCTCAATAGAGTCAGTCAAGATTTTTTTTCCTTTCTAACCATTTTCTCTTTCCCTCAAGTGAAGTAGAAGAGATAAAAATATGAGGAAAATTGAACTAATAAAATCCAAACACTCATATATTTGCATTTTTTCATTTTGAATGTCATGTAAACAGTATTTACACATCCACAGCATCACGCAATTAGCCCAGCTGTCTGGGTGAAATTAATCAGTTTTAATAAAAGTATTAAATATTGAGTTGCAGACTTAAAGACACATGCATATGAAAATCTCTAAATTCACTCTACTTTGTGCATCTGGAGGAATTTATAGAGAGATCTGAAGTTTGAAATCAAAAGTTCTCTTCGTGAATAGAAAGATCAGAGTTTTCACTGAGATGTGAATTCCACAGAAGACACCGAGAATCTGTGTCTAAAAACACCCCACTCGTACCTAGCAGGCACAATCTGGTCCTCCAAGAACTGAAAGTTTACTGTTTACACTTTCAGCACCTCCCTTTTTCCCTCTGCTGCTTCTGTTTCTCCTATTAACCTTTTCCATTACCAGACATCAAGAACCCCTGTGTACACAAAAAAGTGCTTTTCCCAAGGCAAAGTCGACTCGTTATCATACAAGACAACCGTATGCTGAATCCTGAGTGTCATACATCAAGACAACAAATGTTAAATGCTAATACTGCTATTAGGATTCTCCATTGCATTTATCATATGGTATCAGATAGAACATCTACTGAAGATGTGTCTTTAGGATTTCAGAGGCAAACACAGTCATACTGGTAAAACCCCCCTATCCGTGTGTTTTTCCCTTGCTTTCAAGCATCATTTTTATCTTGTCTAAAATGCATAAAGTTATGTGTTTCTTCTATCTTTGGAGGGGGTGAGGGCTGGGGGAAAAGCAACCAATAAAAGACAACCTTGTTTAACTGTCTTCTTTCTAAGCACAATGCGCCTTTAGAATGTAATAAACTTACGGCTTCCTACCACAGGCTTCCCCATGAGGAAGATCATATTCTTTTTCTGAGACACCAAAATATTTCTACTGTCATAAATCCTTCCTGACAGCAGTATCTGACAAACATGATTTTAAATTATGCTTTTTCTACCTTAATCACAGCTTTGCTATGTACACCAACAGACTTTGACATGCACTGGTGCAAACTAAGCTCAGGGGCATATACCTAAGGCACAGATCTTAATTCTCATTTGCAGTGCTCATTGTAAACCATCATAACACCTAATTGAAACAAATTTATCCTGTGAAAGTTCATCAGTCAGTAACACATTTCAGAACACAAATTTAGAAAACCACACACTTATTTTCCCAATTAAGAAGGCAGTTGTTTATTAAACTTTCCATCTTCTGGTTAATAAAACCTGAATTTCATATCATTTTCGAACATCCATTTATTCCCAAGAACAGGTGTGTATCTAAAGCCACATACTCAGGAGAGAAAAAAGAATCAGCATCTCTCTTGCCCAGCCATTTTGCAGAGGTGTCTATATACATAGTAGCAAGAGGGGAAAAAGACACTACTGTTAAATACTACCAGGACTGAAGAATCAAGAGAATACGCTCCACTTGCCTTTCAAATGCAAATTTCAAAATGCTGACTTGCAGTGTTTCTTAGTTCTGGATTTTGCAACTGTTTATAGTTAAATGCGTTACAATCACAGACACATGTCAGGAAATAGCAGAAAGCAAGATCTTTGCTTTTTAGAAATTATACTTTGACAGTCATGAAAAAACCATTCACAACTGATTGTTCTGTAGTAAATATCTAACTGTAACGAAGGGACAAACTGGAGTTTTTGTGATCCCTAGCTCACCCCCTCAGTAACTCAGAAAAAAAAAATAACACAAATTAATCAATTATATATCAATTATAAATGTTCAAACTCATAAGCCTGATTAGTTCATTTAAACAAAACATAAGTCACTTACAGAACTGGATGAACAATCAGCTCTGGACTATATGATTTGATTACTGTTGCTGCATCTTTGGTACAAAACACATGGGATAAGTCTGCACCCTAAAAAAGAAAATTTTAAAAAAACGGTATTATCAAATTTATACTTAATAATAACTTTACCATTCCAAAGTTTACTCAACAAATAATTCATCTGAATTCTTACTTTTCAACAGTTAAAGCAAACTTTATTATTTTTTCTATTTTGGCTTAGACTACCATGAAATGTTCTGGAGAATTTTTTTTTATTTAATCTAGCTTCCAAAATAACTTTTTTCTGTTTCTCACTGATAGGATGACTGGAAACACAAATCTTGAATTTTTACTCAACTTGAGAAAGGTTTCTCATTTGCAGATGAACAACGACTAAAATGTCACATGTACAATAAGAAGAAAGGCAAAAGAATACAGATGAACATGAGACAAGCTACACTAGAGAGCAATAATAATACTGTAACATACTTGCAAAATATAGCTATGGCAATATGGGTAGATTTCCAATCCTACCATTTTCATTCAATGGGCCAAATCCATACAAGATAAAAGGCGGGCACAATTTCAACAACACTCACTTAAGTTAAAATAAACATTAAAGCTATGGTTGTGTCTCAAGCTTCTGTTATTAACTCAAAAATACCGAAATACACATAAAAATTATGTAAGCGGTGACGAGAAAACCTGATTGTGTATGTTGTGCATACTGAAATTTCCCAAGGCTAAGGAAGGGTCTCCTCTGCTTTACTGCTACGCATTTAACATTCAAGGTACTTAGCAATGCTGAGATTTGATCCTACGACTCTTTATGTGCAGATGTAATGATCTGAGACCAAGTGACTTCAGTAAGGAACCTCCTAGTATGACATTGTATTTGCACATAGTGAACAGAAAGCTGAGTGGCTTTGGTGTCTTCTAATAACATGACACTATTGTTTAATTTTAAATCTTTAAGGAACTGCATCCGGGGGGAAAGATGGTTGGAAATACCTGTGTTGATTATTCACTTATTGAAAGAAATCTTCAAAAAGAAAAACATACACAATGAACTGGAAGTACTGACACACTATACATAGCGAACTGAAAATCAGAGGCATTAAGCAAGCATGACTTGTTTACATTTGAATAATCACCACTATAATTATGTAGTCTGTATAAATATGTTGAGCCAGTTAATATGTCAATAAAGTAAGGAACTTCACCCTTCTAGGAAAAAAAAACCTTAGAAAATACTTCTGCTGAAAATCAGATTGTGAATAAAATGTGATATTAAAAATTACATTAAATTCAACCAATAATCTTTAGATTTACAGCAATAAGAATCCTTCTAGACTAACAATTTAAGTTTTGAAAGAAAGTTACTTCATTCAACACACTTATCAGGTCCAGAAGAAATTACTGAGGAATTCACTGCAGTACCAAAAACATCATTTTAAACAATAACCTAAAGTTATTTTATTGTTCATTTTTGAAGAAAATATCAAATTTGAAGTTTCTTATCCAAATCTCTGATATTTTTAATTTTTTGACATATTTCTAACTTCACCCTACACAGAGGAAGAAAACACAGTAAATGACATATTTAAAAAGTATTTATAAAAATCCGTAACTAAGGATTTTCTTTGTTCAAGAGAAGACCTTTTAGAACTCAAAGTTCATGAGCAGAAGAGAATGAATGCTTTTAAAAATGGCAGCTAGCCAACAGAAAGGATGAAAAGTTCATTTTGAACTGGTACAAAAGAACACATACCACTTTGAGAGCTGTAATTGCAGCAAAATACGGTGCTCCAGTGTACCTAAAATGAAATAAAATTTAGGTTAGGAAACACAGTCACAAGACTCAATGATTTGGAAATCAGTCTGCCATAATGAAATCCCCAATTCAAAAGCAAATTTTTAAAATCGTTTTCTCTTCTGCTTGCTGTAAAAGACAGAAAAAATCCTGCAATACTGAAGTCAATCTCAAACCTTGCTCTGACTTCAAAGGTACAGAATTCCACCCTAGCCACCTGATTTTTCACAGAAATATTTACAAAGATCATGCCCTAAAACAGCAAAATTTTTTTAGGTAACCAAGGTAAAAGTTTAGAGACAAACCAAACAAGAGCTGAGCACTATGTGCAAGTTGAATCTGGGGTCTGTGACCTGCATCGATCCCATCTGGTTTTAGATGCTCATCTAAAGTGCCTAAACTGTGATTCTAGTTGCCGTAAATTCTCTTTATAAAGACTGAGTAGTGAGATATGAACAGTATCACCCTCCAGAGGTGCTTATTTCAGCCAAGAGGTAAGAACTCACTAGCCCATTAGGTTCTAACTCCTGGCTAGTCAACTCAGCTATATGACAGCACTTTTTTGCTGTTGAATGTTTATTAATGGCAGATGTCCAACAGCAGATCTCTCTTACAGGAGAAAGATGTCCCTATTTCAAAAGGGGAAAATGAAAAACAGGGAGGTGTAGTGGCTCGTTCAAAATATTGTGGCCAAGAATACAAAGCCTCTTTTATTTCTAGGTCAGTACAGCACTTAACTGATTTATGCTGTAACTTTTTTTCCCTGAAACGTGCTATTTTTGTTACTCCAGTACAAAAAACAAGTTATTGACACAATCTAGCAAACACCACAATTTATCAAAATAAAAAGGGCACAGTAAGAAAATATTCTATTCCTGACTTAAAAGACCCACTTCCCAGGGTACAAAAATATATTAAACAAATCAGATGTGCCACTGTCTACTTATTCTATAAAGACATAGAAGGTAGACACAGATACAAACAGCATATTAAGTTCCACTCACATTCCGCACCAAGATTTTGCAACACATCTGCAAGAAAACATGTTCTTTCCTAAGCATGCATGGTCATGATGACGGACTAGTAAAGCTCCCTGGAAAATGCTCATGTTTTAAATGTGAGTTTGAATGGGTTCTACAGGTTCTTATGACATCCTCAAACTCTCTGAGAAGCAAACCCCAAATTTCTATTTAACTTACTCTCGACATCCTCCAACAATGCCTATACGACCATCTTGACCTTTATGCTTTTTCCCTGTTAGAGGAGGGATAACATTGCGCACCAGTTGAAAAATATTCTCCATATCCTTTAGAGAGTGTGTTCTGTGCAGTGAAAAAGATCTCTCTATAACTGAAAAGAAGAAAATAAGTGTTAAAGTATGATCTTTCTTAAACTACCAAGCATTTCTTTTAAGCACCCGTGAACACTAATAAAATCACACAAAGATATACAAAGTGACATACATCTGAAAACAAAATGCCTTGTCACTTAAAGGCTTTTAAAACAGTCAGTAACTAGGGAAGAGGATGATGTTAAAAATTAATTTAGGATCTGATGCAGAGAATATGCTCACTGACTGTTCGCATTCCTAATTTAGGGCTCAGGCAGAGAAGGAAACAAAAACCCAGAACAGTTATATGAACATTTTGTCACTAGAAATACCATCCTAGTTCAGCCTGAAATCACTTCCATAATTAAGCTCAACTGAAATAGGTACACTTGGCAGGGACTGAACACATCCAGACACAGAGCAAGCACAAAGCAACTAAAACCAAATTTTAAACGTACACCCTACCTTACATTTCGTTTCCCCTTAAAGTCTTCCACTCTTAGCAGAATCAGGGCCTATCTCTCTGCTTTTTTATTTTGGTAGGCGGTTACAAAGCATAGTGGAAGTCTTTCTGCAAAACTATAATCCAACTCACTAGATGCAAACATCACAAATACCACACAAAGATCATTTTTAGCTATAATACAATTCCAGATCTCTGATGCAAAACTACATGTCAAGCCACATACTAAAACAACTGCACACTCAGAAGGCTATATACCAAATTACTGTTTCAAAAGGCTACAAAAATTTAGAAGAGAAAAGTATTTCAACAATTACAACTAGAGAGAATTAAGACATTTACCTAACATGAGACAAATGTGAAGATCAGTACTTCTTTCAACCACATGTTAACTATAAATTGCAGCAAATACACTAATAGAACAAGTTCTTATATTTCAACTAAGGTCCTCATTAACTGTACGATTCTGTTCAGAAGAGCAGTTTATTTGGATGTTAATAATAATGTCCTAGACCACAGTCATGCTTATTTTCTTTTTTACAGATCTTCTATAAAGCTTTCAAGAAAATGCTATACAATGTAACATAATTATGTAGAAAACAACTCCCACGATATTCCTTATTTTCTGCTGTATAAAACTCGGTAACCCCACCTCCCAACTCCAAAATACAGAGGAGGAAAAATAGGAAAGAAAAAAAAAAAGAAAAAAGAAGAAAAACTGTTCCAACAGTTTTGGGCATAATAATGGGGAAAAAATGTAACAAACAAGAAAATTCCACATCTGTGTGCTATCAGCAAAAAGCATCTTTTTCTCTGTCTTCCACAGGATCTAAACCTAAACCAGACAGGCTACTCTTCAGTAATAAAATTTCTTTGGTGTTCAATAACAATAAATACTCTTGGCTGATTTTTTGCTTTTAAAAATCTTGTGTAATACAGACATCCCACTCCTACCGAGACAAAGTTAAAAAGGGGGGGAAAAAGGAAAGAAAATAAATTAAAATAACAGAAAAAGAAAAAAAAACCACCAAAACCACAACCTGTTTTGGACTATGGCCAAATTAGCATTGCAGTGAGCCAGAGTAGAACAAAATGCTCGTCTCCTCGGGAAATAGGGCAGATTATTTTCTTTAAACTACACTTCATACACCTGCTGGTTTTCAACCACACAAGAATATAATATAGCTTGTAACCCCTAAAGTGTAATGTTGTTAAGAAGGCCCTTCATTTCTTTGTTGCTGTTTTTTGTTTATATGTAAATAGGAAGCGACTGCATAATAAATGGAGAGAAAACAGAGAATTATGCAAAAAGCAATTCTTAAAAGAGCCCTACCCTACCTACAGAATCACTAAGGCATATTCAGCTATAAACAGAAATCTTAATTCCTTAAAAGATGTGTTGCCTGAAGCATTATGTTCACATTTCAGTATAAATGCTTTGTTACACCTCCACCAATTACAAGATCAGAATCCTGAGTTGCTCTTGCTACAGTTAAATAAACATAATGCATTTCTGCACAGTGCAACATGACTGTATACTGACATGATGAAATCCAGCAAGAAAAACTGAACTTTAGTTTCGAGCCATTAGGGATAATTAAGCTCTCAGGAAAAACCTTTCAGAAGTAATGGTAAGGCCTTGTAGGTACCATCACCCCAGTCTAGAACCTTAAATGATTTCCAGAGGGATTTTTCTAAAGCCCTCCAGTTGTCCTTTTAAAAGTCAAAACATTTAAAACACTGAATCTATTTGTATGTTGTAATTAATCTAAGAAAGTCTGCTGCCACCAAGAAATGCTATAGACCAGCTATTCACTCAAGAAGAAACACAACCAGATCTGCCAGCCTAAATCCTCAACAGACCTAATCACCCAGTCTCCTATGCATTTTACCAGAAAACACAGTACGTAATGCAGAACTGAAACGGCTGCAAGATCCTCTCAGGACTCAGAGAATGCCCATTAGGATCTGGCACGCCAGATTATTTTTCAGCACTGAGACTGGGTTGTTTGTTTATTTGTTTTCAAACTACACTTTTTTCCTTCCGAGCAGTGTGAAATTCAGCATTAGAACAGAGTAAGACTTGTTTCATTTCCATGTGGCAGGCTACAAACCACCAAGCCCCAACCTGACTAGTTCCAGCACTGAGAGCATCCCTGACTTCCTCCTGCTCTAGCAGTCTACCTCCACATGGAAAGAGACTACAATAAAGATAGATGCCAAAGACTCACGGATCCTGACAAGTCAGCCCGTTAACGACCAGCTTTTGGCCCACACATAAGGTAAATAAGGAAAAGTCTGTGCATAGATACCAATTCTTGAGCTAATGCTTTGCCTTTTTCTTTAAAGTAAATTCAGATGCCCAAAGAATTTATAAAGGAGCTGGTGCTGAAATAAAACAAGCAAATATTTTCATCTTCTATTACACCTCCTATAATAAGAAATTTGATTAATTGGTAAGATCAGAATTTTGTTGTAAAAAAAATTGTTTTAAAGAATATAGATTGTAACATCTGACTTACTTCAGTGTAGGCAAAACTTTTTTTTCCCAGCCCTGAAAAACCATATGCACAGCCTTAACTTCATACACTGGGTTATGCTTGATAACTTCAAGCAGAGCACCAGCAAAATTTCTGCTACAAAGCACCTAATGTTTCTAGTAGCTTTCACAATTGTGCTATTTGCCTTTTATGTATAAAGCTTCCCCTAACTTCACCAAGATGTGAACATGGAAAGAAGTTCCCAATGTTTACAGTGTTTGAAAGGTATGATTTTGCTCATTAAAATTTGTTGTAACTAATGTACCTGTATTAAATAACCAGTACAAAGGTATGAATGACGATTTAATTTCATTTCTTTTATCAGACAGACACCTTCACCACAATATTAAATGATTCCAATTAGCTTTTATTTTCAAAAGCTGCTTACTACCACTGCTTTCACACAGAAGTATTAAAAAAACCCCTAGCTTTTATTTATGCTGTAGAAGGAAGTACCTATCGGTGGAGAAAGTGTTGTTGTCATAGCATTATAATTAAAGTTATCCGCATATGAACGATGGTTCGCTCTCCGAGGTGGACTTGTTGGTATAGACTGTGACCTTTGTGATACTGTAGAAGAAATTCCTGCCAACATCTGTCCCAACATCTGTAACATCTGGAGTTCTCGAGCATGCTCAGCTTCCCGACGCTTGTCCTCAATTTTGAGCCTCTGCTCTTCAAATCTGTAAAATTTCTCATCTGTATCCATGCTCTGCTGCAAGAATTTTTCCATCATTTTATCCAATGTTAAATTTGTATGGCGCTTTTTTGATCTTTTGGGCTGATTGAGAGGTGGGGTAATAGTTGGAGCATTGACTTCTTTAAAGCCTAAAGCAAGGAAAGAAACAATTATTTTTCCGATGAAAAATAATTTTCTAAGAGGAAAGCAGCAAAATATTTCCCTACAAGATATGCACCTAATGCGCCACAAAGTTGTTCCACTTTTTCAATGTGAACTTATTTCAGATATTTCTATTTCAGAGTACTAAAGCAAAAAGACAAACTTCCAAAAAAGTTGCAAAGGTAACACAAAAATCATATAGAGGCATCTTTTAATTGTTGTAGTACTAAACTTCAACAATAGGAGTCTTTTTGATCTTCTAAAAAGGTTTAAGTGAAGGCTATTAAATAGTATAGCCTCATTTGTGTATTCCAAGTAATTACATTAATCTAAATTGAGTTTCAGTCTGTTGGCATTCTAGATTTGCATTTCAAAAGAACATCAGTGTAAACAACTCTTTGATGGGGTTTATGTGTAAAAAGAAGGTTGGTTAAACGTCAACCAATTGGCTGATTCCTCAGTGATGTCAACTTCTGAAGACAGGTTCATGTTCGTATTAAAACCTCCGCACTAATCTAGATTTAAAACAAACAAGTAACACTTTCCCCGCACCTCCGCAACACACATGCGGAACGGAGGGTAAAGATCGAGCAGGGAAAGACAAGCTTTATCGAAGTGCTGCTTCTGTCCGCAAGGCCACTAAAGTTAGAAGCAGTGTTTCTGAAACAACGCATGCAATTATTACGTAAAAGCACTCCGCTAGCTTTCTGACCCATCTGCGACAATAAGCAGATTTTTCAGGTATTATCGTCATCATCGTTTTAATACCGATTAGCAAAACTGCACACAGCCTGCAGTGAACGGGAAAATCCTCCAGCGAGAAGAATGCTTATTTTCTTGTACAGTGCTACCTGACACTTTGTCTCGATAACCTCTGTGCTAGTTTTCCACCGGTTTCCAAGTGATAAATCCGATAAAAACTCCCTAGGGCCCCTGTCCGCAGCATCTCCCCCTACCCGCTGTGCTGCATTTACAGGACCCGCAGCCGCCCGCTCCCCTTCCGGGCTCCCCAGATCACGGGAACGCGCAAGGTGCAAGGTCTGAGGGGAGGCAGGGGCGGATTTCGGAGCGCAGAGGACGGGCCGGGAGGGAGGAGGGTAAGACAGAAGCCAACCGAAGCGCTCTAGTTGGGGAGAAGCGCCGGCAGTGGCACTGCGAGAGCCCGCGGGGTGAGAGGAGGACACCCGGCGCCGGAGCCCCCCGGCTACTCACCATCGCCCGGCGGCACAGGGATGGCGAAGGACGGGCACTCCACCTTGATGGGGTGGTCGGCGTAGGAGGAGCACTCCCCGGAGTCCTCGGTGAAGTTGTCGCGGGGGGACTCCGGCCCGGCTTCCTCGTCCAGCTCGCCGTCCAGGTCGCGGCTGTTGTGCGGCGTGCCCGGCGTGGGCGGCGCGGGGAGCGGCCCCGCGGGCGGCGGGACAACCTCTGGCGGCGCGGCCAGCGCGGCCAGCGGCTCGGGGGCGCCCTCGGGCCCCCCCCGGCAGCTCAGGATCCGGTCCATCTCGTCGTAGTACTTGCATATCTTGCGGGCGTGCCCGTTCTTCTTCAGCCCGTCCCGGGCCTGGTAGTACTGCCGCTTGAGGCCCTTGATGCGGATGCGGCACTGCTCGGGGGTGCGCTCGAAGCCCAGCTCGGCCAGGCGGCACGCCACGTCCCGGTACACATGGCTGTTCCGAAAGTTGCCGTCCAGCGCCGACTGCACGTCCGCCTCGCCCCAGATCTCCAGCAGCGCCCGCGTCTCCAGGTCCGACCACAGGAAGCCCCGCGTGTTCGTAATCATCCTTGGCCGGCCGGGGTCACTGCAATGGCCGCGCACCGGGGAGAGGGAAGGAGGGAGGGAGGGAGAGAGGGAGGGACGGAGGGGGCGGAGGAGGGCGGCGGGGAGGAGGGAGGGGGTTTAATGCCCGCACTCGGCTTTCCCAGGGGGCGCCTACGCCAGCCCTGGCAGCCGCGGTGCGCCGGGAAGCGGCGGAGAGCCGGGCCCCGGGCCCCGCATCCCGGCCACCGCCGCTCGCAGCCCGCACGCACGCAAACAAAACTTTCCAGGAGCCGCTTTGCGCTGCGGGCACCTGCAAGAGGAGGGGCGGTGAGGTGGAGAGAGGGGAAAAAAAAGAAAAAAAGGCACCTTCCCGACTCGCCCCCTCCAAAAGCGATGAGGATAAACAAAAAATAACAACCGGACTGCCGTCGCGGAGCCGTAGCCCCCTTCCTCTCCCTCGCTCAGGCAAGCATCCGTGCGCGGCCGCTCCCCCGCCCCGGGCTCCGCCGGGAGCGGCAGGACGACGGCGTTAGCTGGACTTGGAGGCCCTGCTCATCACAGTGCGCCTGCCTCCCTCCCTTCCTCCTCCTCCTCTTCCCTCCCTTCCCGCCGCAGTGGAGCGCGATCTCTGCACACGCTCACACACACACACACACATACACACATAGGGCGCTGCAGCTCGGCGCCTACCTCACCCCCGCACACCGCCTCGCCGGGCCGCGCCGCGCCAGCGCGGGCAGCGACATCGCTGCGCCCTGCCCGCCGTGTCACCCAGCGGGGCGGGCCAGGCCGGCTCCCTCCCGCACCCGCACCGGCGCACACAGCGCGGCAGCGCTGCCCCTGCAGGCCGCCACAGCACCGCGTTGCAGCCGGCGCCGCCCGCAGGCCCGCGGGGACCCGGCAGCCGCTGTCCGCGGCAGCCCCTGCGGCGGTGCTGGGGGTCGGGTCTGTGAGCGCTTCCCCCGCCCCCGGCCGTCCCTCCGCGGAGCAGGTGAGCGGCCTGGCCGGCCCCCGAAGCAGGCGGGGGTGGGCTGCATCGCGCCGGGAGCCGCTACCGCCCCTTCGCTTTGGTTTCGCTCTCCGCGGGAGCGTCACGGAGCCGCTTCCCTCCCGCTGCCCGGCCAGGCGGCCTTTCCTTCCGTGAGAAACACCCGCCGCCCGCCGGCTCCGGCGGCCCCCGGCCCGCACCCTCCCGGTCCCCGCCCCCTGCCCGCCGGGGTCGGCGCTCGGGTGTTTGTACCTTCTTCACGCCGCAGCCAGAGCGCCACGGCCAGCACGGCCAGAGCGGCGACAGCGCCCCGACCCCACATCCTCCCGCGGGGCAAGCAGGGCCAGCTCCGCGCTCTGCTCTTACCTCGGCACAGCGCGGGGCTCCGCACACCCGCCCAGCGCGCACAGCTCATCGGCCCTGCTGCGGCTTCCGCCTCCGCTCCGCGCCGGGCAGGGCTCCGAGGGCGGGCGCGGCCTCCCGGCACCGCTCCGCGCCTCCCCGCGGGCTCCCCCGCGCCCGGCGCAGCCACTACCGGGAGGGGCTGGCTCGGCTGGGGAGGGGGGAGCTTGGAGCGCCAGCCACTTTTGGGGCTGCCTTCCCGGCCCGTTTAAGCTGCTAAAAACTCCTTGGAATTTACCATTTATTGCTCCCAGCATTTAAAACTCTTCATTTAAAACTCTCGCCTCTCCAGGCGTTTCTGAGTGTGATTTGCTTCTAAGCTGCTGTTTCTAGTTCAGATGCATCATTTGTCCCTGTACTCTGCACTTCCCCTATACTCAACAGTGGTGAGGCCATATCTCGAGTACTGTGTCCAGTTCTGGGCCCCTCAGTTCAGAAAGGACACTGCTGGAGCAGGTCTGGAGAAGGGCAGTGAAGCTGGTGAAGGGTCTGGAGCACAAGTCCTATGAGGAGTAGCTAGGGAACTGGGGTTGTTTAACCTGGAGAAGAGGCGTCTCAGGGGTGACCTCGTCACTCTCTACAGCTACCTGAAAGGAGGATGTAGCAAGGTTGGGGTCAGCCTCCTCTGGGCAACAAGTGACAGGATGAGAGGACATAGCCTTAAGCTGCACCAGGGCAGGTTTAGGTTGGTCATTAGGAAGAAATTTTTCACAGAAAGAGTGATTAGATATTGGAAGGGGCAACCCAGGGAGGTGGTGGAGTCACCCTCACTGGAGGTGTTTAAGGAAAGACTGGATGTGGCACTGAGTGCCATGATCTAGTTGACATTGTGGTGTTCAGTCTCAGGTTGGACTTGGTAATTCCAGAGGTCTTTTCTAACCTAATTGATTCTATGATTTTATAGCACTAGTAATATTTTCTTTTACTTTAAAACACACCAGAGCTGATATTCACCATCTGATACTCACCTCTGGTCCTATGGCACCTGCTTAATCGTCAGAATTCATCAAAATGCAGCATCACACAGGAAAAACTTACCAAGATTATATGCAAGAGAAATTTGAATCATTTTTTTTAAAGCTCAAAACAGCTGCAATTTCTGCTCTAGACTCCTGGGTATTTCAAGGAAAAGTGTGTTTATTAATTCATAAAAGCTGTTAGCCAAACTACAGCAATAAAACATCAATGTTTCGATCAATATTTTGGAGGGATGAAGACAGACAACATTCTCCTTTACTATCCTGTGTTATATGTAGGCTGTGGTCAAACAGACCTGCTGGTTTTACCTGGACCAAACCCAAGCAGGAGATATTTGTGTCCTTCAGCTTCGGAAGCATCACCTTGAACAGCCATGGGGTATGCAAACTACAAGATAGACCACCTGAGCTTTTAGTAACCCAGGTTAAACAGTAACCCAGGTTCCAGAGCAGGAACTTGGAGGCCTGACAAGTTTGCTGTCAGGTATTAACTTGTTCACTGAGAAGTTACTCCTCCATAAGTCCTGGTATCTGGTACAATTTTAAAGCCAATACCAGGTCAGTAAAATTTGCCCTCCATTCAGTCAGCATAAGTAATGCTTTTTAGCCTTTGATTATCTGAGTGGCAGCCTAAAAGATACATTAAACAGCCAATCACATTTAGTTTTTACAATAATTTTAACCATGAAAAAAAGATTACCATGTTGTTGAACACCACAATTTGTACACTCATGTTTTGATTCCAGCTGGAAGGATAAAGAGCATGTAGATTCCCATAACTCCAGCACTGATTTAGTGACTGGAAGAGAGAAGGGAAAGAGTGATGTGGATGTTTTCTCCACCCCATCAGATATCCTTGACCCCACTAAAAGCATGTCTTGTGCCCAGCAAAAGAGAGGAAAAAAATGTAATTGTAATGGGGTTTTTTTGGCTAGGTTCTCTGATTGCCTTTGTAGCAGAGACAGAAGGGAGTTCTGATGCTGCAGAATCCTCAGAAGTTGTTTGTGGAGGACCCAATTCTCAGTTCGTGGGTAGAATAAACCCCAAGGGTATTTATGGGCTTCCCGTATGCCACAGTTGTTCAGATTGTTATGCACAACCTTGATATCCACTAAAATGGTCTTGCTGCTATTGTTAGCCAACATGAGCATAAAAACTTTGAGCAGAACACATTGCTGCTCCTCAAACATTCTCCTGCTCTGCATCTAAGTCCCTTCTACTGCTGTAGTACTGTCTGCCATTTCCTTACCATGCACTAGTGACATCTCTGAGCCCAGCAACAGTGATAATATTTAACCAGGGCATGAGGCAGGGCCTTTAATAGAACTACAGAAGGTAAGAGGTGTATGAGGCAAAAGTTCACACACCCATCATACAATTAGAGAAAAAGCAGCTGCAAGAAGCACTTACTTCAGGTATATACTGTGCTTGTGCTCTTTTTCTTTAATTAGAGCTTCCTGTTCTGACAGTCCTGTCGCTTTGTCCACTTTTACATCTTGCACAGAAGGAGGAATGACCTTGCAGAGTTCCATTTCATGCTTTGTCAAAATCCTCCTAGCTTCATCACTTGTTGCTCCCTTACTGGCCTCTACTTTCTCAGTCTTGCCCCTCCTTCCTTAGTTCTTGACCTCAGCCTCCAGTTCCAGCATTTTAACCCTTCTCTGGCTGCACTGTCATGGCAATATATCCTCCTTATTAGTGGAATAATTACTGCAACCTGTCCCTCCCCTGCTACACAAAGAAAGGCATCAATGGCCCACCTGGGAATGCCCTGTTGCTGTTGAGGCGGCAAGAGCTTTGAGGTTTGACTCTGTAGTAGGTGGCAACAGGCACTGACAGCTGATGCTTGCTGGGAACAGAAGGTATGTAAGTAAATAGGGTGAGGGATGGGCTGTAAGCTAGATGTCCCTAGGTGGAGACCCCAAAACAATGACCATTCAGGACTATCGTTTCTTCTGCAGGTTGCTGATGAATCTTTGCTCACAGTATTTTGGCTCTTTGCTTCTGGTCATTTTGCACCCACTCAGCATTTTAGTCCTTGCCATCCATTTTGTAACTGTTGTGCAACCCTGCCCACTGAAGCCATTCCAAGGTGAACGTGGACAGCAGGTGGCAATAGCAGAGCTTGCAGCATCCTTTGATCAAGTTCTCTCCACTCAAATAATTGCCAGCCTGTACTCAAATCACTATTCAATATCCAAATTATTATAAACATATCCATGTTAACATATGCATGTTCATTACAACAGGAGGTTTAAGTATTCCTGTGAAGAAGGAGATTGGAAGAACTCAGAAGTAATAAGTAGCTTTAATTGAAACTGCCCATAAAATATGACCAAAGATTTCTTTGTTGTTGAAATGGGACTCTGGAAGCACTTTTCAATGTGAAAAAGCTGAAAACCAGAAAGTCTTAATTTCATTTGAATGTTTACTTAAGTAAACATTCATACAGGAGTTAGAATTGATAGTGCTAATCAAGAAGACAATAATGGTATATGTGTTCAGATGAAAAGGGAGCCAATCCTGCAGGTGTTATTAGCAATGCTATCTACTGTCATTACAGTGAGTGAAATGAGGATGTTTTATACCACTGATATGTTTTTTTAGTGCAGGACAAAATGTGATTATATGGTGTCAATTTTAGTTTCTTAGTTTGATATCTCTTTAGGCTGCAAAGAAACTAAGAAAACCTGAATCTATAATAATTATTCTTGTCACTACACTACTGTACTGTAGGAGTAGTGCTTTTTGGAATAATTTGTAACAGGAAAGCAAGAAACTCTGTTTTCGCTAGGAAGGCTTACTGCCTAAAAAATAACTCTTTCTCAAAGGGAGTTTCAATGCTTTCTGCTCTCCTGCATAGCAAGAGAAGTTCTCAGCTTTCTCTTGAGTGAGGAGAGAGATAATGTACAGGAATGCTGTAGGGCCCTTGCAGCCTGGGGAGAGTCGGGGAGGTGGGGACTAGGGATGATAAAGCTGGGGAGCAAACAGGAGGTTTGCCTTTTGCTCTCTGAGGGCTGGTACTGCCTTGAATGCCGAGAATTTTTAAAGTTGTAATGTCTTTGCCTCTGAAATAAACCCTTTTTGAACCCTTTCCACTGCCTTGGCATTCTTGGGGAAGATACCTGTGTATGTTTTACCTTACATATACATTTTTATATTCAAGAGAAAGGATAGCAGCAATAATCACCAGCAACCTGTTACAAAAGCACATCAACATGTTTTGGTTTCCCTATAAAGTTTACTGAACAGGAGTCACATGGGCTGAAAAAGGAAAACGAAACTGTATATGAGAAGAAATATGCCTACATCTGATTACATACTGTGTAATAAGTTTATCTCCACAGCTTCTGTAATTCTTCATATTCTTACCAGGACAATACAGGTACTATTGCTTCTAAATATTCAGTCTAATATTATTTGTCAAGCCCTGTGCTTCACTAGGTAATTTTTGTTTTACCCAAAGTGAACACTCTTTTTGCTGAGTGTTAATTGTAAAAAAACCAAAGATCAAGAAAACAAAAGAGAGAATATTTCTGTTTTGTGCTCTTCTTAGAGCAGGCAGTAAGAATGATCTATGTAGTGCAATAGAAGTGAAGGGTTTTTTGGGCTCTCCCAACTTCTTCAAAGAAATTCCTGATATCTAACGCAAACAAACATGTGTAATCTCTTTAGCAACAACCAAAAAGTTAAAACATATTCCCATAGGGAATAATGAGACTCTCAGAAAGTAAAGGATTAGTCAGTTTTCTATAAACTGCTATATTCTGTCCTTTGGTGGCAGAAAGTAACATTTTCTAAATCCATTAACTTACACAGTTTAGAACACTGCTATTATTATGAAATATACTACTCATTTATATAACTTTTTTACTGTTCAGTAATGTTATTTAAACATGATGTTTTATTTAATGGTGTTGTAGCTGAGCCTGGTGGCTTTTCCTGGGTGTTGTCTTATCCATTGTACATACACAAATGTCAGCCCCTTGCTCAAAACTCAGTTTTATGAGCATTTAAGAGAGACATGGATGCTCGGAATGATGGACACATTTGTAAAGAATAAATCTGT